GTTCATCATATCTCAATTTTTACAAGTCACAGCTTGCACGGACCGACGGACAGACAGGCATCCGGATTTCAACTCTACTCGTCACCCTGATCACTTTGGTATATATAACCCTATATCTGACTCTTTTAGTTTTAGGACTTACAAACAACTGTTATGTGAGCAAAACTATAATACTCGCTTTAGCAACTTTGTTGCGAGAGTATAAAAATATATGTTCAGATCCCATATCAACACACCAGCAATTGTAACTTAAACACAGCATTTCAGTGCCATTTTTCGTGCTTACCAACCCACTCCCTTTAAACATTTCCTCAGTGACCGCCGCTTGTCCAATGTACAATAACATAAATGTCGTTATTCACTTCGTGTCGGTTGGCCTGTCGATATTCGCGATTTCGACATGCGCAAAGGGTACATCAAATCTTCAAGTGCAAGGCAACAATACATGCATGATGAGTTGCTCAACTTCCTGCGACACTTTCCTAACACTTGCAATCGCCTGGAGGTCATGTCGCTGCTATTTGTACGTCGACAACAACGGCAACAACACCAGCAGGTAGTCACCGCTGACAACATTGACATTGTTGGCTTCCTCTTGCACTACAACTTTCCTTGTGTCATCATTTATCGTTGCTGCTTTATGGCGTAGTATGCAACGTCACTGGCGCGCTGTTGTTGTCAGCGCGGCGACTACACTTTTGCGGTTTTACCTTCCTTATTTCGCGACATGTTGTATTGTTGTTTGTGTTGTTTGCTGTCGGTGTTTCTGCCATGTTGACTCTAATAAAAATGAATTATCACCATGTTCGCCGTTTCTATAAATATTCGCGAGCTCTAGCTGCGCTTCCATGCAACGGTACACGTTTATGTTTGTAACTGTATGTGTGTGTGTTTCAACAATTTTTTATTTGTTTTGACAACTTGCCTCTTTGCCACTTGCCAATTTGCTGTATGCAATGCTTTACTACCGATTTTGCGTCACTTACCAACACTATTCGTTGATTTGCTTTCCCCCTCTTTGCTATTTCCTCCTCCTTTTTAGATTAAATTCTTGTGTGTTTCGTGATCAATTTTACTCGCACTGTATTCAAACAATAAATTTCAATGGCAATCGCCAAAGTGTGCTTATTGGCACGTACCGGATCGGTATTTGGCGCTTATTTCGCAATAGTTCATGTGAAGTAATATGGTTGTTAGCGTTGTTTTGTCACATTAGTCAACCTTTTGTTAAAATTACACTGAGGGGAAACTATCACTTCATTCATAAAAATTTCATTATTTCGCATACCTCAGATATTTCTGGAGCATTTTAGACGGAAGTCGTAATGTTGCAAATATTTTTGAAATCAGTCTGGAAGCGGTGTCAAAATCGTATGCTGTCAGCAATAGTTCTCCGGTTTGGGCGCAGTCCATTTGGAATTTCTATAAGATAACATCAGTTTCAATATTTTATTCAATCATTAAATTCTACAAATACAGAGAGTACTATAAGTAAAGCTCCGTTCCATACGAACTCATCTTTTCCCAACTTACTTTGCTATATGTTGGGCCGCTCTGCTTGCCTCTTTGAAGTTTCTGTTTGTACTCGTATACATTTAGTTGGCTTTCGAGTACAGTTGCTAATTAAATAATTAATCACTTAATAAATTGATAAGTTTTAACTAAAAGGCAGCTGCGGCAGGTACTTTTAAGTTATTTGATCAAATACTTGTAGTTATTTACTTTTCGTAAATAAATTTGCTAGAGTATCTATATAGAATGTAGGTAAATCAGTTGAATGTACTATTAAAATAATCAATCGCTTGCGATTTATTTATTTTTGTGTACATACTCACCATTGGAAATCGACAAAAGTGCTAAGTAAATAATCAATATGGTACACACAATAATGCAACATTGTGAACGTTTCGCTGTAATCGGTATGTCGGTGGCGACAAATGTGGAATAATATAACTATTCATGGTTTCAATTCCGCGTAATCACAGACTTTAAAATATTTTTCTTAATAATATATATTTTTTCAAAGTCTTTTAGCACTATTGACTTTCCTTTTTTGTAACTGAAATATAATATTACGTTTAAAAATGTCTGTTAGTAATTTATCAAAGCATTAAAATTATTAAATTTAAATGAAAAATATTCTAAGAACTAAAAATAGTAAAGATTTGTTTATAATTTTAAATTTCTGAAAACTGTCAACATAACTTACATGTTATATATGTTATATGTATATTTTTGACCTGCTTTGACGTGCTCCTTTCGGATTCGGCTCACCTTTGCCGCGTTATTCCGCCGTTTAATAGTCCTTTTCCGAGTCGTGCGCATAGATCCAAGACTCATCGTCAGTAATGATACATTTCATGACATCCTAGTAAGGAGAAAATATTATTTCTCAGACGTTAACGCGGCGCTGCTTTGCAAAAAAGTGGGTGTTTCTGGAACCAATTGTGCTTTCACTTTTCTTAGGCCCAAAGGATCTTTCCAATTTTCAATGGTTTTTATTGATCCTTCCGATATTCCAGCTATGATCTCTAAATATAAGTGGTCGATTCTCAATCCCCAATTCCTTAATTTTATTGACGTGTTAATCATCAGTTGATTTCGATGGTCGTCCTGGACGTGGTTCGTCGCCAACGCGTTCTCGATCCTCTTTGAATAATTAGAACCGAACCAAAACACTTGCTCGCTACAAATAATTATCACCGAAGGCTTTTTGGAATATTCTGAACGTTTCAACTTTCGGAAAGTTGAACCTGAACACAAAATTTAATGGAACTGCATTATTGAATAATTTCACTCATTGTGAAAATCGCCGCATACACTTTATGTACTTCAGAAAGACAAGCGTATACTAAATACTAATACTTATATTAATGTGATATTTGGCACAGATGACTGTCATATAAACACAGAAAAAAAAATATGTATATGAATTGGTTTTCGCCAGAAATTTGAATCAAAATGTTTACCATATCGACAAGTTTTGAAAAATTCCTCAACATGCACTTACGTCACTTTCAAAGTAAATTCTCTGATTAATTTCAAGTGGACAACTTGCAGTTACTAGATATTCATTTGTATGTATGTACATAAGTATAACGCATTTTGTTTGTCTTTTCGTTTTCTTAACTATTTATAGCTGCAAACGCACTCGTATACTCAGATATTAAAGCTGTATACTACATATGTATGTGATTGGGCTTATGCCAGACATTTTACTCATGCATTCAGTCATTTATTTGCTCATATTGTTTACAAATGCAATAAAACTTTAGACAAAAGCACGATATGCAGGAAGTAGCAATGCATGTGTACACTTGTAACATTTGATAATACTTACACATGTATGTACAATGTATTTATAAGTGATTTGCATTGCCTTATTATTGTAAGTCTTTCTTTCTTCGGCGATATATAACAATAATAACTCAGTTTTTTGGTATAAATCTTCTTTCTTAAAGCAATGCTATTTTCGAAGCTAAGTAGTGCCCAAAAAGCCATTTGATTAACGTTGATGAGACACCAATTGGTCGCACTTGCTTTAGGGTTCGACTAAACTTATTGCGGATCCGCATATTCTAGCCATCTGTTTATATTAAATGATGGTGTTTCTTCTATTTTAGTAACCTCTAGAAAAGCTGTCTCAAAATTTGCTTGATTCATACTTTTGCCGAATTTAAGCGGCTTCATAAATATAGTCCCCACAGAAATATTATATAATTAAAAAACTTAATAATGTACATATATACTAAAAATTTATTTTAAATTAAAAATTGTTTTTTACACACCCATGGTTTCTAATTATTTCACTTCTCTAGCTTGTGCAATAATTTAAAGGAAACTACACTTTTAGTATTGATTTTCAGATTTTATAATCAAAAACAAACAAACGACACGCGGACACACGATCCATTCCACCGTAAAGTACTGTGAAGAACCCAGCTTGAATTTATATGCAAATATTATTTGGAAAATTTCTCTGGCCTTGAAGTGAATGAGATGAACAATTGCTGTAACAACAATAGCAACTAAGGCGAATGCAAATAACAAATGCCTGTGGGTGTAATAAAAACCAATGCTTTAATACATTTTTATTAGAGCGAAAGCGCCGCACAATCGCCGCTCGAAATAATATGCTGTCAACACGAATCAAACGCTTCACTGACTCTTTCTGGGGTCATTCAGCATCAACTGTGGCCAGACTTTTGATATTTGGTAATGCATGAAGCTGGGAGTGTCCTGTTTGTAGACTCATTGCACTCAGAATTCGAATGAAATATGACGGCGGGAGCAAGGCACACAGGTTGGCCTGATTGACGATTATGCAGCATGGATTTGGTTGTCAGTTGGTGGGAAAACTTTGCGCTTTAAATAAATGGGATTATGCAATTTGAAATTTGAAACAAAAATATATGTTTTAACACAAAGTTATTATTATGACAGTGAGGTGTGTTATCGAGTGCTTGTTGCAATTACTCGTAGGTATGTAGATGTGCGCACAGATAATATAGGAAACACAAACCTTTTTAATTCCCCTCAGCAAGTCGATTTATGATACTTCGAGAATTTTTTGTAGTAAGCCGCTTCTTCTACACAGAAGGCGGACTATGTGAAGGTGATACAGTATAAGAATATCAACATTTTTCTGCCAGTACACTTAGCCATCAATATGCTTTGAACTTTCCAACTGCTTCGACAAATATTATTCTTGTTTTTTATTAACAAAAATATTTATTATCTAAAGCATAAACAAATAATTAATTAACAACAAATAACTAAAAATAATTCTCACGTTTTAGTGAGTCTATAGTAAGAAGCTGATGACCTTAGTCGCTAATGCTAGAAAATTTTAGAATGTCAAGGTATAATTGTATTATCCTTTTCAATAAAATAATAACAAAATAATAATATTAATTTATTGAGTCTTCTTCTTGATATCCTTTCGCGCAAGCGCAAATTGTAACCAACCCCATACAGAACGTATCAGCAGCAAGATCAGCAGCAGCTCTAAAGTAAGACCGCCAAATATGATCAACATGCTATCAATACTATGATATTGTATGAAGTTCAAATCTTGTCCGGCGCAATGTAAATGCCTTGCACCCTTATGCCTCACCACATATTCTACCCAATAGACCGCCAAGTCCAATGGATTCATCGGTTGATCGCGATATTGTGCTGATATATCCGCTAMACGTTTCGTATAGCTCTCATCATTCAACATACGTTCAATGGCCGACTGGAATTBCTCTTTCGTGAAACCATTGTAATCCACACCTATACCATAGCCRCCMGTTTCAGCACGATTCATATTGAGGAACTGATCGCCAAAGATCGGTATGCCAATAAAAGGCTTGCCATGATAAATGGATTCAGTGGTACTGAGTAAACCGCCATGCGTAATGAAGAATTTCACATTGGGATGTGCCAAAATGTCGTCCTGTGGAAACCATTCGCTAATATAAACATTATCCGGTTTACCTTCGAGTTTTGGATCTTCGAACTTCCAAAGCACACGCTGTTTCAAGCCACGGAATGTTTCAAGTATTGCCTGACGTTTATCCAAAGACATAAACTCACTACGCAAATAGGAACCCATTGAGAAGTAGATTACTCCGTGATTCGCTTCGTTGATAAATCGTTCCAAATCGGCTGGTAGTGGTGAGCGTTTTCGATTGATGTGCATGCCACCAACTTCGATCTGATTATGGACATAAGGACGTGAGAAACTCAGCGAGACGTGCTGATTGAGTAGCACCAAGGCAGCATTGCGACGCACTTCGTACATATCACGTTTGTTGTCGGGAAAGTATTCCTTGTACAGAGCTGCTTGTTTCGGCAAATAATACAGATCGAGTGACAATCGTTCGAAAATGCCAAACGCAAAGTTGCTCACACGTTGCCACAGCGTCATACGTTCGTTGAATGACAGAAAAGCGCTAGCCACATACGAAGGTGGGCTGGGTGAGCCGACCTATTATATTGTAAAGAAAAGTCAATATTTAGAAGTTGGTTATCCGATTGGAATATCTACCATATCCGTATTCCAGGGATGTGCGCCAAAGGTGCCTAGACCTATTAGTGGCACATTGTAATGTTCACTTAGTCCATAGAGCGCCTCAGCGAGAAAAACTTCACAAATAACAGCATCGAAGGTCTGATTACTAGCAAGTAGTGCTTTAAGATTGCTTTCTTCTAGGAACGTGCGCGTCATATTAAGCCCCATTGCTTGGAAAATCAATATACTTTCTACAATACTGCTCGAACGAGATTGCAAAACGTGCCCTCCCGCTGCTGTAAATATAATATATGTACGTACAAATATTTGATTAAAAGTGTTAAAAAATTGTATTAGATATATTTTCTTTTGCTATATTTTTTGTTAAATCATACATGGTAATTCTATATTTAAAAGACACTTTCGCATTTTGACCAAACGAAGATATTTCCAAAAAACTTTGGAGCGCGACTATCATTTCATTTGTCGGAATATTTATACTTAACTTATCATAATTTTCTGTTAAGATAATCGACATATTGCATGATATAATATTGGGTTATAATTTGTTTTCATCACCATGGTAAAGCGTCTTTAGCCGTCTAGCTGGGATTAGTCGCGGTCACAGGATTATCAGCCTATTTACGGACCTTTACCGTTCACTCTGGGCAGAAGGTTCTCACAGCGCTAACTTCTGATTGTTGGCCAATGTTTGCTGATTTGATTGGAGTTTATTGGGTCCAACGCCAGAGCACAAAAAAGAACCGGTAAAACGACTCGCTTCCGAGCGTCTTAAATAAAAAAATGATGTCCTCCCTAGCAAGCTCATCTGCGCTGCGGTTTTCGGCGATTTAACTTACTGCTTACAAATTCCTCGTTGGTATGTGAGCAGTGAAGGAGTTGACGAGAAAAGATTTCGCGTGAAAGAATAGCTAAATAATCAGACTGGGTCGATTTAAAAACATTTATTGAACCGTTACAATTCTTTAGAAAGTTTCGAAATGGGCTCCTTTTGCGTCGATGCATTCTTCGGAACAGTCTTGAGAGCTGAGGCTTATGCTGCTTGGTCGTCATCAGCGATCTCTTTCCGGCCCTTAAAAAAGGCGTGGTCCCACCGTTTCTCAGCTAGAAACGCCCGATATTCAATCCAGTCGGTACGAGCACGCTCCAAAGTACAGTCGCGAGAAAATCAGTTCCATTACTTTCCGGACAAACCCTACCTGTTTTCTGAGTTAATATTGCTTACTCTCTTGAGTCTAAGTGTGCTTTAAACAAGTAAGGAAGGGCTAAATTCGGGTGTCACCTAACATTTTATACTCTCGCATGATAAAGTGATAATCGCGATTTCAGGCGTGGTTGTGAACCGATTTCACCCATATTTGGTAAATGTCATCAGGGTGTTAAGAAAATATTATATACCGAATTTCATTGAAATCGGTCGAGTACTTCCTCAGATATGGTTTTTGGTTCATAAGGCTTCCTTCTGACATTTCTTCCGTAAAAATTAGTGTTTCTGACGTTTTTTGTTAGTCGGTTAACGCACTTTTAGTGATTTTCAACATAACCTTTCTATGGGAGGTGGGCGTGGTTATTATCTGATTTCTTCCATTTTTGAACTGTATATGGAAATGCCTAAAAGAAACGACTCTATACAGTTTGGTTGGCATAGCTATAGTAGTTTTCGAGATATTTACAAAAAAGTTAGTAGGGGCCGGTGCCACGCCCACTTTTACAAAAAAATTACGTCCAAATATGCCCATCCCTAATGTGATCCTTTGTGCCAAATTTCATTTTAATGTCTTTATTTATGGCTTAGTTATGACACTTTATAGGTTTTGGGCTTCCGCCATTTTGTGGGCGTGACAGTGTGCCGATTTTGCTCATCTTCGAACTTAATCTTCTTATGTAGCCAAGAAATACGTGTACCAAGTTTCATTATGATATCTCAATTTTTACTCAAGTTACAGCTTGCACGGACGGACGGACAGACGGACGGACGGACAGACAGACATCCGGATTTCAACTCTACTCGTCACCCTGATCACTTTGGTATATATCACTTTGGTACTACCAACCGTTGTGTGAACAAAACTATAATTCTCTCTTTAGCAACTTTGTAGCGAGAGTATAAAAATGCATGCAGCTCCAACGTGTGCTTTTCCAGACAATAATTAACCTTTATGACTTCATACCATTTTTTATATACTTATCAGTTTACGGTAAAGCCAGCTTTAGAAATGAACCACATATTATTGAGCTTAGTAGATAAGTAAAACTAAAAGTATTACACAGTCACTGGTACGCTTTGCATAGGCACAATAGTTCATATTTCCATTTGAACACAAAACTCACAGTCGATTGGTGACGGTTGATATGTTTCTATGTCAACATAATTATCCATTGGTTTTTTTAGTGGAAATGGCGATATGACGGTGACATGATGACCCCTACGCGCCAACTCCTTCAGCAGTGCTGTGCCGACGATATTATGTGATTTGATTCGGCTATGAAGAACGCCCAAGAAGCGGTAGGCCTGCACATTGTGGGCACACAGCAGAAGTGGGGCGATTAAAATGACACTTAAGAAATGCATTTATTTATTTTGCTCTCACAATAAAAACACACCATTAACAAAGTGAATGTATGAAAACTATTTAATCTTTAAGCAATAACAAATACCATCACACTTCTTTTTAATAAACGGAAAAATTCATTCACGAGCTCACACAATATTTATTGAGTGTTGTGCTTTGTAAGAGTAGGAATTGACTGACCAATGACTATGCATATGTGCTTTTATTTATTTAAATAATATTTGACCGATATTCAAAGCACACTTATGCTCTCCTCTGCTCGTTTACAACCTCTCCACATGATTGCATGTGTTACAGCTAACTTACTTCATAATTAAGTAGTATTATTATATATATTAGCATGACACAAAGCACACTCTCTTATTGATAACATATTTGCCTATAAAATGAATTAAAGCTCGTTAACAAACACTTGTGTTTTGCTAAATAAAAATTAGTATTGAGATAATTAATATATCCGAGTTGACAGGCGAAAAAATGCTAGAGCTTGCAAAAGCCAACAACGTAGCACGAGATTTTATGACAACCAAAACATTGCGTGACATGACGATGAACTACACAAATGACGAAATAAGCGCACCTCGTCTTATTTTAACGTAAACCTAAATCCGTAAATAAAAAGCCAGTGTCAAGCGGAGTCGTCATCATCACTTTGACTGAATTTCAGCTATCTGACAAACAAGTGAAAACAACCAGACCACGTCAAATTTAAATATTACAACCAGTTGGAACAAAGTAAAAATCATCATTATTTTGCTTTGATACATTACGTTAAGTTATTATCACTAAAGATAGCCTAAGAGTAATGAACAGAAAATTTAAATAAAATAAGCATGAAATAATACACTTTTTCACTATTACAATCTTTGAAACATTTTTAATTAATTCTCACATTTTAGTGCGTCTTTTTCTTGATATCCTTTCGCGCAAGCGCAAATTGTAACCAACCCCATACAGAACGTATCAGCAGCAAGATCAGCAGCAAGATCAGCAGCAGCACTAAAGTAAGACCGCCAAATATGATCAACATGCTATCAATACTATGATATTGTATGAAGTTCAAATCTTGTCCCGCGCAATGTAAATGCCTTGCACCCTTATGCCTCACCACATATTCTACCCAATAGACCGCCAAGTCCAATGGATTCATCGGTTGATCGCGATATTGTGCTGATATATCCGCTACACGTTTCGTATAGCTCTCATCATTCAACATACGTTCAATGGCCGACTGGAATTTCTCTTTCGTGAAACCATTGTAATCCACACCTATACCATAGCCRCCMGTTTCAGCACGATTCATATTGAGGAACTGATCGCCAAAGATCGGTATGCCAATAAAAGGCTTGCCATGATAAATGGATTCAGTGGTACCTGTCTCTTATACACATCTAGATGTGTATAAGAGACAGCTCTTTCGTGAAACCATTGTAATCCACACCTATACCATAGCCACCAGTTTCAGCACGATTCATATTGAGGAACTGATCGCCAAAGATCGGTATGCCAATAAAAGGCTTGCCATGATAAATGGATTCAGTAGTACTGAGTAAACCGCCATGCGTAATGAAGAATTTCACATTGGGGTGTGCCAAAATGTCGTCCTGTGGAAACCATTCGCTAATATAAACATTATCCGGTTTACCTTCGAGTTTTGGATCTTCGAACTTCCAAAGCACACGCTGTTTCAAGCCACGGAATGTTTCAAGTATTGCYTTACGCTTCTCGACCGGCAAAAATTTGCTACGCACATTGGAGCCCATCGAGAAATAGATCACTCCATGTTTGGATTCATTGATGAATCGTTCCAAATCGGCTGGTAGTGGTGAGCGTTTTCGATTGATGTGCATGCCACCAACTTCGATCTGATTATGAACATAGGGACGTGAGAAGCTCAGCGAGACGTGCTGATTGAGTAGCACCAAGGCAGCATTGCGACGCACTTCGTACATATCACGTTTGTTGTTGGGAAAGTATTCCTTRTATATAGCTGCTTGTTTYGGCAAATAATATAGATCGAGCAACAGACGTTCGAAAATGCCAAATGCAAAGTTACCCACACGTTGCCACAGCGTCATGCGTTCATTGAACGGCAGCAGAGAGTTTGCCACATACGAAGGTGGGCTGGGTGAGCCGACCTGTTATGTTAGAAAGAACAGTAAAAATTTAATTAGTGTCATAGTAATTGGTATTCCATTTAGACTATCTACCATATCTGTGTTCCAGGCATGGGCGCCAAAGGTKCCTAGACCTATTAGTGGCACATTGTAATGTTCACTTAGTCCATAGAGCGCTTCAGAGAGAAAAATTTCACATATAAYMGCATCGAAGGTYTGATTACTAGCAAGKAGYGCTTTAASATTGYTYTCTTCTAGGAATATGCGGGTCATATTAAGGCCCATTTCATAGAAACCTCGCACATTTTCCACTACAGTTTTCTCAGTAGTTTTCAGAAGAGCAGATGCGGTGTCTACGAAAAATAAATGAAAATATATTTAWGGAAAATTATTTGTTTGAAGTTACCCTTTGATAACGTTTTGGTAAGAAAAAATTTCTAGTTCTATATATATACTATGTCATATTAAGTTTTTTATAAAAAAATTGTTTATGAAAGTAATTACGAAAGTTCCTAGTCAATTTCCCTACAAGCAATTATTATTTTACCCCGTTAATCATGCACGTTGATGTAAGAGTTTGCTAATCTAATTTTAARTAGTATTCTCGATTTCTGATATCCGCCACAGTTATATACTTAATTCGCAGCTCTCAACTTACGTATCATTGAGTAAGTCGCGTGCATTGCATACGATCATTTACTTAGTTGTATTATATATAATACGTTACGTAATATGCGGCTTTACCACTAAGGGCAAAAAGTAGTAAGACTTTTTAATTTAAATTTCGCATGAAAACCCATCCGTCGAAATATTTTCCTTTTTGGTTGGTATGATGTCATTAGCGATTAGTATACGCCTGTCTTTCTGAAGCACATAAAGCGCATTCGGCGACTTTCAAGGTCAGTAMAATTATTCAATATAGAAGTTCCATTAAATTTTGTGTGCGGAATCAACTTTCTGGTGCTGAAACATTCAGAATGTGGCAAAGAGTTTTCGGTGATAATTGTTTGTGGCGAAAGATCATTGGGCTTAAGAAAAGTGAAAGCACAATTCAATTTTTTCGAAAAATAGCGTCACGTTAACGTCTGAGAAGCAATGMTTTATGTTTATTAGGATGTCATGAAACATATTATTACTGGCGATGTGTCTTGGATATGTGCTCACGATCAGGAAACAGACGACCAATCGGTCGAATAATGTGGCAAAGGTGAACCGAACCTGAAAAAGCATTGACCTGCAGAATCAAGGTTATATTGACAGTTTTCWTCGATGTACTCCGAATTCATTCTGATCGACCAAGCTGCCAACAAGGTATAATATTTGAATGTTAGGCGTCGTTTACCCGTATTATTAGCTATGYGTAAAAAGGGGCTGAAATTATAGGCCGACAACTCTTGGCTTTGCACCACGATAATGCACCGCCGCATCATCATCTGATTAAACTCCTTGTGACTTCTGGCTATTCAGAAACCTCAAACGACCGCTCCGGGGAAACAGGGTGAGTCAATTGGGGACATTAAAAGTGAATCACCAGGTGCATTGAAAGCTATTGCAGAAATTGATTTTAATAACTGTTTCGAGAATTGGAAAAAACGGTGACACAATTGTATTGAGCCGAGGCGAACATYATAGATATTGAAAATAMATTAAGAATTTTAAAATTATGAGMAAAGTCTTAATAGTTTTTGGTCATAGTAGTATATATTTTTTAAGACATAAGTTTGTGTGCTGATATTAGAGCTCGGAATTTGGTCGAAAAAGAACATAAGTTCAAAAAGAATAGGTCAATATTTTAGCCACTTATTTTGATAATGATGTACAATGATGTTAAATTTATTTTAAAATGGTTAAGACGTTTCCTATACCTAACATATTATATGAATTACATCAATTAAAACATATGATTTAATCCTTTAGATCGTAAGGATTCGTCAATATGTAAGACATATGTACGTATTAGAAATACGTTGTGGATATAACTAATATGAGACAAACTAAACTAGAATGTGAGTTCATGAGCTACACTAGAACTCATTTACTTCTTTTGAATTTTGTTCTTTAGGCATGTCGGTCTTGAAAACAATTAAATTAAGCGGAATTTTTTCGATTAGCATGATGTACTTTGATACTAAATATTCATAAGTTCAGGAGTTGAAATCAGTTAGTATGTCGGATACTAATAAAAGAGCAATACGCTACACCACATACGAGTATACCCATGTATATGTACTTCAAAGATATACTTCAGATACTTTAAAGCTTACACTCGAGTGGATTGGTAGGTAAATAAAGAGGTGAGTAATATATTATTACGCCGGTATCCGAATGATTTGTTTTGAAAATGAGAGAAATCGGACAACAATTCCATCTACTTCCCATAAATTGTCGCTCCTTTAGACACCGAACATGTGTACCTCAGCTCTTACTGCACATTTTTTACCAAAAATTTTGATAAAAGTCTTAAATAAGATATTATTTTCAAAGAAAATCTTTTTATTATAATAGTGTAGCCCTAAATACAAATTAATGCAATACAAAGATTTTCGARCTTTCAGTTTACTTGTTACCGCATATCCGCTAATTAGTGAGTAAATGATTAGTTAATGAAGTTCAGAGACAGTAAAATTCTAAAAACAGTATGTCCTTGTGCTAAAAATGGATAAAATCTCGTGAATGCTTCACCTACTTTCTAAATACAGAATAAAGCTATTTTCAATTTTGCACCTCCATTTACACCGTGCATGTTGGCCAGAGTATGCSATATTTCAATGAAATTAAATACGCAAGTTTTCACGAAAATATGTGTAGATGTTAAGCGCTGAAAATGAATGAGTTCTCTGGTATTAAATTTAGATTATTTGGTCTTTTTGTTTTGTTTTACACCGTCAAACTAAAGTAATGACCGCAGTCAAATCAACTTGGTATATTAAAATGCCTCTAAAACTATTTCCCTGTGTTATGCGTTGGTTGAGTGCTAACAGACGTTATGAAACTTTTGCAAAGTCACTGATAATTTGTCATTATTCATATTTCAATATGTTTAAATACAAATAGCTATAAAATACTCCTGCACTTGAAACAACTATATATACACATAATCCAACACGATACGATAATAGATAACCGAGATAAGTACAAGTCTACGTCTAAGCTTATGTACTTATACGTGTTCATGTATGCGCAACGGTGCACAATGAATTTGTCATTTGAACATTAAAAGCAAAAACACTTGATAAAAAATAGCAAGTATATTTTATTGAATTACACAATGGTTTTAATTTGTAYGTTTTACCAAATAATACACAAGTTCTTAATGATTCGTTTAGTGCCGCTCTTCCGTAGTGGCAACGTCGTTGCTGTTGTTCTGTTTTGAATCGCCTTTGAGTAAGTTTGCCATTTTACGATTCTACCGTCCGTWACGTGGATATTTACGCAAATTGGATTTTTCTAGTAGAAACGAGTTAGCTGATCGCTCGCTTACAAAGTAGAGTAGCCAGACTCGATATTTGGTAGTAATTAAATCTTAAACTGAAATATAGTTCAAATACTCTTAACTAGGAAAGGCTGGCTGMATGCACCACAATCTATATAAATTGAGCACTGACAACATTGCTTATTGAGATGAAAAGAGAACAACTGATTTCTATGTTACGTTGTCACTACGGAAGAGCAACACGTCGGTCACAAACTGAAGCATAAGTTCTAATGTTTACAGCACTTACTTTCCATGACTGCCTTAATAGTGGGTATTTCAATGTCGACRTAATTCTCCATCGGCTTCTTTAGTGGAAATGGTGAAATGACAGTCACCTGGTGACCTCTACGCGCCAGCTCCTTCATCAGCGCTGAGCCGACGATGTGATGCGATCTGGCGCCAGTAGGCATAATCGCCAAGTAGCGGTAGGCCTGCACATTGGCGGCACACAGCAAAGCTGTGATCATTAAAATGACACTAGGAAAGTGCATTTATTTATTTGACACTCACAACAAAAGCACAATATTAACAAAGTAGAATTTATGCAAACTATTTAATGTTACTTAATTAGAATAAATGTTCTGATATTCTCGCAATATCACGGACTTAAAAACTACAAAAAACTACTATGACGCGGTCACTGCGAAATTTTCGTAATCTTAGCGAATGTTTCTCGTTTTAAGAGAGCTCACCGACTGCTCATTGTCCAAAAAAATATTCTTTTATATACTGCGCTACATATATTTGCATATTGTGTACGAATAGATTAGTATTGCATTCACAGCTGATTGTATATTTGTAAGTACTCTGTACAAAGAGAACGTATACTTGAGAAAACATACAAACATACATAATGTATGTTTTGAATGTAGCTATACTCTTCCTGCTCTTACGCAACGTTTACTGTAAAGTCGACTGTGATTGAGAGAATTAACAATTGATAGTGAGCGGAGCGGCAAAGAGTGCTATATATTAATGATGTTAGTAATCTACCCAGTAATTATACTAGAGTAATTAAACTAGTGGCTACAAAATGTGATATGACGTATTCGTCGGCACCAACACGTACATATGTGGGTAAGTACGGCTAATGTTTATCGATTGTGATGGCAGTCGCGATACCTTACTAAAGTCTGCATGTTTTAAATMTGTTTTGAGTGTTGGAAAACCACTCATAATAGTCTGCTGTAAATATTTCAYCTCAAAGTATTTTCAACCCAAAAACGATATATAAAGGGTTTTGATTTCTCTTGATTTGGAAAGCCGTATAAATTCGTTTCGCATAAAAATATGAATCTTCCTTATATAATAGAGCACCTTAATATAGACGGGCACATATAGAATTTTATTAGAAAAACATACTCTCTAAATTTTATTAAAATAACTCACACATTTGCCGCTATACATGTGTATGCGGTATAAAGTCAACTGGAAGCTCGAAAATCTCTTCATTAATAGGTATATGAGAACTAAGTAAATTATTGGACGAATAAACTCATTTTTAACTATAACTCATATACTCACCGACATTTCCGATTAAAACTTCGCAATTGAATCTTTGWGGCATTATTTAGTATCTGGGGCCTTGAATGGTTTAAGTAGGATTTGGACAATTTGCGGTCATGAGACAGTCACTCGGAGTTCAACTCGTCTCGTCATCGTGATCATTTGTATATATGAACAAAACTATTATACTCTGTAGCAACATGCTGCAAGAATATAAATATTATCGATAACCTATTTAAGAGTGGCATACAAACGATCACAAACAAATCTGACTCTCTCGTTATCGCGCTTAAGAGCGTACCTTTTTCTCTTCGTATAATGTAGTACGCTTAAGCCTGCCGGCATTAATATCTATAAGTACATGCTGAACGTAATAATTTATATTCATTTAATATCATATTCATTTTTGCCAGATCACGTTGCCCTTAAAAATATATATTTATTTAAAATTATAAGCACTGATAACAAATCAAGAAACGRAGAAATACGACAATTTATGAATAAATTATTTACATACTTAATAATTGTAAACAAGTTTTAATATTTCGGTCATTCAATACAGGTTATTGTCTACATATCTTTTACTTATATTACTCTATAATTAATGTTCCAAATTTTTATTCCCCATATTAAGATTGAGACAAAATATTCCATACTGGTTGCAGGCACTAGAGCAAACATGTTTTCTTTTTATTTATTTAAGTAAACTTTTCGGCCACAATTGCCTTAATCATTGTCTAAAAGTTTGTTGGGAGTTTATTTGATTATGTTTTTATAATCGTTGTTATATATATACGAGTATATACATACATATCTCGAGAGGGAGAGAGATTATGATAGCCGCTTTTTTAAYGGTTACATTTGAACATATGTAAATCGACGTGGTAACCTGAGTACACAGTTGATAAACCGCTTTGTTAACGATTACCTAGTTTTTTAGGTGCATGTAAACTTCAAATATCATTTGACGCCAATGCTTCTATACAACTGAATCTATCATTCGTGAATTATGATAAGGCGGTGGCGCCAATTGGAGATTCTAAGCGAMACCTGGTCCTTCTCCAATTGGTCCTTCCAACGGAGTGGAGGACTTCCTCTTCCTCTGCTTTCCCCGGCGGGTACTGCGTCGAAAACTTTCGGAGCTGAAGTGTTTTCGTTCGTTCGGACRACATGACCTAGCCAGCGTAGCYGCGTCTTTTAATTCGCTGAACTATATCAAAATCGTCGTATATCTCATACAGCTCACCGTTSCATCGAATGAAATATTCCCCGTGGCCAACGCGTAAAACACCATAAATCTTTYGCAGAACTTTTTTGTCAATATCGAAGTTATCGACGGCTTCAGAGTTATGATAGTCAACTGTGACGTGGATGCTTAGTCGCGAGTGTGATGAATATCTGGTCAGTTGTAGATATTCAAGGCTTAAAGCCACACTGATAAGKTCCAATCCCATCCCGCACCTGTTGTGGTCGCTTGTAACGTTACAAGGTAGGCAGYTTGTTTTCTCTCCACTSCGACACGGCACTCCTCGTCCACACATCCCTTGAAATGCCGTCTCACAGTTCCCTTATACCAAGTTGCTGATGAGTGCTCTCAGAGAGCAGGAGTGCAAGACGAATAGAAAACTGTTCGGCTGTCTGTTGTGATTGCGGCTACTTGACGTTGAGCCTTCCTTGCGGTTTTTGCTTTTTATATATGTATGATATATAATATAAATAAAGGCGAATAACCACATCTTAAGCACTAGTCTGAAAATATACAAATAAGAAAGAAAATGTATGCAAATTATGCGAATTCATATAAGAAGAAAGAAAGATGAATTTGAATGATTTTAAGAGACGAAGGAGGTTGACACGAAATGACAAACATTTTAGTAATAACTTTCTCCAACGTGATGGAGAATCGATCAGTAAATATGCGATACACAAAACGAACAAAGAAAAATGAACACGGCTAAAGTACAGTATGAACGAAAGCATATTTCTAGGCGTTTTATTCAGATTTCTCAAAAAAGTTGCTGAAATTGAAAATAAACAGAGGACCTAATGAAACGTAGAAAGAGTAGCAGCGCTCGGAAATGAATTGTAAAGCGAGGAAATGAGTAGAAACAAGGAAAAACGTTAATTTCGGCTGCACCGAAGCTAATATACCCTGCACAGGTGCATTTCTTTTAGTAACTATGTGTTCAGTTTGTATGGAAGCAATATGCCATAGTAATCCGACTTAAAAAATTTTGTCCAATATTACATTATTTCTATGAACAATAACTCATACCAAATTTCGTGCARATATATTATCAAATAAGGAAGTTTCCCATGCAAGCATTTGATTCCGATTATTCAGTTTCATTATTATCTTAGAAAATAACCTGKGCCAAATTTTGTGAAGATACATTGTCAATTGTAAAAGTTTTCCATACCAGAACTAGCATCCGATCGCTCAGTTTTTATGGCAGCTATATAGTATAGTGGTCCGATATCAGCAGTTCCGACAAATGAGCAGTTTCTTGAAGAGAAAATGACCGTTGCAAAATTTCAAAATGATATCTTAAAAACTGAGGGACTAGTATGTATATACGGGTCTCCGACGCTACCTTCTGGATGTTACAAACTTAGTGGCAAAATTAATATCAAGGTATAAATATGTATATGCAATAAGGGGGAAGTTTGTGCTTTCAACTTCGTGCTAACAAAAAGGCACGAGCAGCAAAGAGAATCAACAATTGTCAAAAGGAAAATTCCTTACGCACACACGCATACATATATACATATGTACATAAATACATTTTACATTTACATATACGAGTATATGTTGAAGTGCGCATAATGTCGCTTCCGCTGACAATTTTATTTATTTATTATTTCTTTCAGCATACAATTTCCATTCTTTATGAACCGGACGCAGCGCAAAATATAAAATATTTATAGATGGAACTCAAAATGTATATATATTCGATTGAATTGTCGCCCTTTCGAAAAAAAAACTCACGTGCTTTCATCTATTTGTGATTACACACCTCGAGACATTTCAATAAAGTTGCCCGAATAATTTGAAGTCAYTGTTATGAAGTAGACAAAGTGACGCACGAAAAGAGAGTAACCACGARGATATAATAAAAYATTATTATTACTCCACAARTATATATATATATAWATATAWRTATATATAYATAAGTATATGTATATAAGTATGCATATAACTTCGATGTAAATGGCTTCAAAGTAATTACTTCTGCGATGACTGCGATGTCTTTGCAAACTTGTCAGCTAAATAATACCCAATGTGGTGGCATTSAATAAAATGAGACCTTTGAATGAAATGGAAATTACTAGGTAGTGCTTAGTTAAAACAACCCATATAATTATAAGAAAAAGAAATATTTAGTTGAAATAAGCGATATCTTGAGAGACGCTGATGAATATGAAACCCCCTGAAATTGCTATGGGAGTGTTGAAAAATATTCAAACTTTGCTCAGTTGTATGAGATAACTATTTGTCTTTATGCCAAAAAAAACTTAGCAGTGATTTTGACGGGATAACGATAGACCAGAACTGTACTGATTATGACCTTTCTACGTTTCATTCGTCTCGAAACTTACGATAGCAGCTAATAGCGAACCAATAGCCATCCTATAGCGAACTTTGCTGGATTTTTGCTATTATACCTATTATATAAGTATTCACACATTTAGATTTGTATTTGTCCTAATTTCAAGATTTTGGAAAATCCACATGATCGAAAATTAACAGCAGAATTGAAGCCAATTTGTTGCTGAAAATGCAAAGAAATATCATTTCGATGTATCAACTTTGAAGTTTTTGAGTAAGTAAAAAGTGTAAGCCTCTCATTTCAGAAAAAACTGGAATGTAGAAGTGAAAAAGGCCAACTACTTTAACCTGTTTTGCAATCGCCAACAAGTTCTGGTTGCTTTCGACAGTCTCTTGCCTATTTTTGAATGTATTAAGAGGTTATTTACACTTGCACAGAATAAAACTTTATTTTGCGAACTTTTTTGTAAGATTCATTTCACTTTTAAAAAATAATAATAATTTACCGAATTTAATGTACTTTAATAATTGGCGACTCATTTTGAATACTCTTGTTCCCAATTTTTGATCTACAGAAAATATGTGTCTGGGTTATAAAAGATTTTTCTGCTTAAAATTGTCTGAGATAC